GTGAAAGAAACGTTTCAAACTTGTGTGAATCATTGTAAGAACTAAGTTAAGGGTAACTTAGCTTCTTACTCTAAAGTCTATATTAATCGGTTAGGATTAGTATAGTGGGCAGTGTTGTATCTGCTTAGTCAAAGTCTAAATCATCTAGGAGCTAGTTGATTTAGTGGGCGGTGTGGTTCCGCTTAGCAAAGTCTAAGTTATCTAGGGGTGATAGCTTAGTGGGCAGTGTTGTATCTGCTCTGGCTCATCTAAGTAATAGGAGGTATTCCTTAGTGTGGAGATTAGTAGGCTAATCTCATTTTGTAACTGTCTTTTACTTTTGCTTGAGAAGATTAGTGAAAAGCAAATCTAAAAGTCCTAGCAGGCCAGGTCGTGGTTTTACCCCCTTGAGCAAGGAGGTTTCCACGTAAATTCTCTTGTCAATCTTTACTTTTCAGCACTTGTTCTTTACTGTTTTAGTTTCAACTGTGCTGAGGACCTGGTCCATTGACACTGGTGGACGCATACTATCACGACCCGAGAGCACCCCCTAGTCGTAACCGGCGCACTCGACCTCTCGGAGGTCTAATATAAGCCTCTTAGCATTCATTCATCGCATAAAACTAAAAACCATAATGAATTAAAAACTTTCTTTACAAAGAAGACATTTCATAAAAAAAAACAATAGCAAGCGGAAGACTTTCTAGACTTTATACATGATTGTCTCAAACCATCTAATACTTTAGAGTACAAAATTCGGGACCAATCCCATACACAACTTAAACAATACTAAAAAGACATAAAAGAACATATGGGGTATTGTCCTCGAATATATGAGGACTCACCAAGTCTTCATCTTCAACACTTAGAAACATATCAAATAGCCATGACATGTCATCATCTCCAAATCCCTACACTTTAGTCCAAAAAGGGAAAGAAAGGGGTTAGCACAATTAAGTACTAAGTATGGAGACCATGCAAAACATGCCAAAAAAGACATTTTCAAGGAAGTAAATGCTTTCATATCATTTGATAAAACATTTCCTTTACAAGTATAAGAGACATAATACAAGTCAACATTAACATATACGACCATAGCCAACCATACATATACTCAACATATGTCCATATACAACCCATGCTTAACTTTAAAAGAACACATGTCATTTCATTACCATAGGACCTCTACCTAATATATTCTTAAGACACACTTGAGTGAGACAAGAAGTGACCGCCCATACAACCTCTTCAAGCACACTTAACTGTTCCCCAAAATTACCTTAGATAAGGACATTTCCTTTACACATAACATCAATAGACCAACATTCTTTAAGAAACCATTTTGGAGACATTCAAGCACATAAGGGGACTTTCACATAATAGTCGTTAGACTTAGGGAACTCACTTTAGTATCTTCAAAGCCTACTCGTGCCATGTGTAGATAGCATCCCATACTACTACCTACACGTTGTAGAACCTATCCAATAACTAGAGTGCACATCCCACATGATGGGAATAGGCATTAACCGACATAGACCATGCGAGCTAGACATGGAATCCGGTGTCATAAAACCCTACACCGTGGAAGGTGTTCTACTTGCCAAGGGTAGAACTAGGACACATTCTATGTAGGCACATGGTTTAGGGGATATCCAAAGATGTTCATTGTACTCTTGCCTCATACTCAGGAGAGCTACCATCTTAACTATATCCACTCGGTGCTTAGCCTTAGTTCCCATAAAGTAATTTCATTCACATGTATGTGCTAGAGAGGGCACCATCATTAGGTCTACCGACCCATAGCACATCTACCAAGAAGGGCACCACAAGGATCTACCGATCAAGGTTCATTAAGGATAGCTCATTAAATCCCCCTGGAAGGGTGCCTTAGGCCTACCGATATTTCATTAAGGGTGCCTTAAGCCTACCGGTCCAAGGTTCATCATTTCACACATGAGAAGGGCTACCACCATTAGGTCTACCGATTTCATGGTTTTACATTTACTTAGGAAAGCTAGACTTATGAAAGGGCACCATTTCTTAGTTTTGTCAATTCAAGTCTTGGCCTAGAATTCCTCTTTTAGCATTTATAGAAAGGGCATCATTTCTTAGTTCTAGCCCACTTCACACTTTCATGCATTCAAGACTTTAAGTAACAAGGAGGGACACTTTAGTCTACCAACCAAGTCACAACATTTTCATTTAAGGATACTTCATAATCCAAATCATTTCATATATACATCATGAGAAATCATACTTTAACTCACAATGATATCCACTTTACATAGGATCATCACAAGATCACATAAAACTCATTCACATCATACCTTCACATATAGCTTCATAAAACTCATTCACATCATACCTTCACATATAGCTTCATATAGGACTTTACATATAGCCTCATATGTGTATAATAATCAATAATATAAACATTCACATAATGCCCTTCATGGCCTCAATTCACAATAATACAACAAATAACCACCTCCACCAAAGGTGGATCAAACCAACCAATAACAATTATATTAATACTAAGAGATCAAGCCATCTTACCACCCTTTTCAAAGGCCATAAGCCACAATACTCAATTCCATGCCAATTATACAATATTTATCAAGTTTGATCAACTTACCCTCTTTCCATGGCTATCTTCATCATCCTCATATTCCAACAATTAACAATACAATAACAATGATAATAACAACATTCAACTATACAAGCTAAGCTAAGCATAAGCCAATAATCAACATGAAGACCAATTCACAATTTTGTCCATTCAAGGCTAACATCCACATCCTTCAATTCACTAACAATTCTTAACAATTCCACATAGATAAATACATATATGAACAGTCCACAATT